TTGATTCTTTTGGGAAGATACCAAGAAAGGGAATAGCCAGGGCAAACAGGACCACTAGTCCTAGTATTTTGAGAAATCTTCACACTGCTTTCCACATGGTTGTACCAGTCTATACTCTCACCAATAGTGAAGCATCATTCCATTTTCCCCACAGCCCTGCCAGCGCTTGAGATTGATTGATTTCTTGATATTAGTCATTCTTTCTACAGTGAGATGGAATCTCAGTGTTGTTTTAATTTGTATTTCTCACTGTGTCTCTCTAGTGTGAGAAACTGAAAGTGTAAATAAAGACCAAAGTGTATAATCAATATTGAGAAATAGGAAGAAGTTGTTCAAATGGGAAAAGGAACTAGAGAGAGGCATGGGGGAAAGGAAGAGACAAGAAAAAAATGAGAAAAGAAGATAAAATGGAAGGAAAGATTTTGCAAACAAAGGGAGGAAGAAAGACTGAAGGGAAGGAAGGGGAATGGGAAAAAAGGGAATCAAAAGATATCATGTACGGATACAAATTCTCTATGATGAATGTGATTATTATGTATATCTAAATTGTACCAATAAACATAATTTTAAAAATAAACCACTGACTATTCATGATGTTAGAACTCCATGTCTCCCCTTGTCTGAGAAATTAGTACTTGGGATGGGCATTACCTTTAATTCTGATGCCTTTTTCAATGCCCCAGTTTTCTTAGATTAAAATCAAGCCTTGCTATTGATATCTTTAAAAGAAAACAAGTGGAAGAAAATGCTAAGTTTGGATAATTGATCCCTAAAGGGAGATTTTTTTAAATAAATGAAATGCACATGGAAATATTTGTGCCATAAATACCAGGTCTTCATGGTAGTAAAATCATGGTTTATACTAATAGCTAAAATTCAACTGTTTCCTTCCTCCACACCCAACTTCCTTCTTTGAATTTAAACCTAAGAATGGTTCTTTTAAAAATGTGCTTTGTTGTAAGAATAATTCTTGCCACAGCCTGGGTCCTTCCAAAATTCATCTTGAAAGTTAATACCCAGTACACGGTATGAAGGTGTAGGGTCCTGTGGAGGTGATCAGCCCATGAGAGCCCTGTCCTGTGGGTGGGCTCCCTGAGGGATGGAAAGGGCAGGGCCAGCACTGTCCTCTCTGTCACGTGTGGACACTGTAGGAAGTGCTGTCCTCCAAGTAGAGAGCAATACTTACCAACGCCACATCTGCCTTTGTCGTCAACTTTCCAGCACTATGCTGTGAAAAACTAAGTTTCTGTTCCCTATAAATTACATCTCTTGCATTTTGATAAAATACCATAGCAGGAACTGGCTAAAATAATTCTAGAATGATCATGATGAAATTTTAAAAAGTTATAGATTGATGAGACTTACTCTGGGCAAATATTTTATTTATAACTATGTTCTTCATTTGCAAATTCTTAGGCAAAATATCTATAGAATTTGCCCATAATTCTGACTGCTTTCTATATGATAACATTCAAGACCTTGAACACTGAATTCTTATAGTTCAATGACTTGATTTTTATGCAAAATGAGGAATTAAGATACATCGCTTATTTAAACATGTTGCTTATTCAAGAACCGATTGACTTTCCAGAAATCACCATAGGCCATGAAACCCACTGCCCTGTTTTTTTGTTTGTTTTCCTTACCATTTTCATCCTGGACTTAGAATTTGGTTTAGCTTTGCATTAAATTTGGGCTGATGTATCAGGCTTATTTTTCCCCCTGTTAGCCCTCTAGGAAGTATAAACTTCAATAAGTCACAGGTAAGGTCATAGCCAAGTTTGTCACAGAATGTCTGGCCTATGGCTCGCAGTTTGCACATGCCTGTTTTGCCTGGGCCACGTTGATTGAAGAGAAATTGTTTTGGGCCACACATAAAATATACCAGATAGCGAATGTATATAAATAACAAGCCTTCCTATATTTTTAAATGTTTTTATTATAACAAGGCAAGTCTAACTAATAGGCAGCAGGTTGGGTACACTGTAAGTAGAAATCACAGAAAGAGCATCTGAATTCAAGGGGAAAAGGGAACTTAATTGGCAAAAAATTCAAATAATAATTTCAGAGCTCAGAACATGATATTCCAAAGTACAGAAGCTTGGCATGCTGAGTACTTTGAACTGAAGGAAATCAGAAAAGCCTCAGAAGCCTGATCTCCCACTGATCCTTTCCACTCATCTGTCTCCCATTATTCTTTCTCCCATAAAGGGAGTCATAAAACTAGACTTCCTCTTCCCTGATCAAAATCATAGAGACCATAAACCCTCTAAACCATAAACTAGTCCTAAGAGCTGGGAAGGTCACTCTTTCCTTTCTCCTTTGGGAACTTTGGAGGGCCCTGCCCCATTCCTGAGGAAGAAATGCCACAGAGAGGCCAAAAGGAATAGGACATATGGCTTTGAGGGGATCCCACCTTGGTGTGTGTCACCCCTGGATCACATCCTCTTGTAATGGCTGTCCATTCATCATCAACGTGAGCATAAAAATGAACAGATTTCTTGGGACTTTGGGACTTCATTTTTAAAATTATTCATGTCATGTAAAACTTTGATTCAGCAATTTTTTATGCTTTTCTCTCATTAACCTGTCTTTTGATACAAGAGCATCATCCATGACCCTTACGATGAGTGGGGAAAACTATCACAGTCTTCTGACGCTGCAGTGACAAGTTTTGGAAAAATTCCCATCCATTATTTTAAAATTATTTTTCTTTGTCTTTTAGTCTTAAAGAAAGCTGTGGCATGAATGACATGTAGACCAACAAGTAAAACAACCAAGCCAAGCTCTTGAAATGAGGCCAGGCCTGATCGGTCAGGGACCAGCCCTGGGTGCTACAAAGCTTCAAAGCTCCTGTGTCTGAGGCTTCTATGTTGCTTTAGAAATGGTTGCTCCTCCCGGGGAACATCTAATGATTGTTCCACCCAAGGGAACCACTCATGTTCTGAGTGGTACAAAGGATGGCATTCTACTTGTAATACATACAACTGGAAATGTCCCTGTTTTGAAGAAAGAACCTTAAAGAATACACCTAGAGCTCAATTGTCATGAAAAATTTTTGTAGCAAAGGTGACAATGAAGAAAATATATACAGGAAATACTATCTCTACCCTTATTTGTTCATAGTAATATAGACCAGCGTCTACAGGTGTAATCTGGCTCTAAGATGATGCCTCTACCTATGTAAACCTACTATAATTTATTTGGAAACGTAGGACCAACCTCCTACTTACTCAAATCATCAAGTTGAGGTGATTCTGCTTTATGCTTCTCAGAGTCTTGGGTAAGAAACATTAACTGCAATATGCTGTGTATTTGAATGTATTTGGGAAGTGGGAAAGGATGGAGGAAAAAGTTTATGGGGAACATTGACAGGAGAAGAAACCTACAGTAAACCAACTCCTCATTATAACTATAAAGGGAAAAAAATATCAGAGCAAGACACATTGGAGGCATTTTCTCTTCAAATGATTTTCACAAAATCACTTCAATTTTATAAGGGACAGGAATTGTCAGATCCTTTGTAGAAGTATAAATTGTCAAGTTTTATAAAGTTACACATCATGAGATGCCCCTCATGAAAGTACTGTCTTACTAAATTGGAGAAGTCACAGATCTTGTGGTTTTCCAAAGCTGCGGAGAAGGAAGCACTTTGCACTAATGGATTAGGGTCACACTGACGTGTCTCAGGGTGTTCTGTTGCCGTCTTGGCAGCCTGGTTAGGGGACTGAATTTTCCTTACATCCAGCTATTTGTTGGCTCCAACTGACACTGCTTACCTTTTAGTATGTTTTGAAACTTGTAGCTTAAAAAGGACTAGGAATTTCTCAGAGAAAAGAAACTTTTTACATAGCATTAACACCCTAAAAGTCTACTACACTTCTCTCCCCCGCCACCCCAGAGCCTCCTCCAGAATGCCAGGCAGGTGCTGTATCACTGAGTCCTACCCCCAGCTCTAGTACTAAATTAAGTCATTAAGTTCCTAAAACATTATTTATTCTTGAAGTGTGTTTTCAATCGTTGGCCCTTTAAAAAAACATTTTTATCAGAACACCAAAAATAGCCCTTTTACTTAGTGTTTACCAAGAAAACAGTGTTGAAAAGTTGTTATATCAATTGACCATGAGAAGTTCACATTCCAGCTGATTTCATAGTCTCTAGAAAGAGCCCAAGTAAATTTTTAAAGAGTTTTACTTAAAAGGAAAGCTTCTGTCAGCCTTGGGCGGGAAATGCTGAGAAATGAACATGGCGGCAGATGAGAGAAGAGCCCAGGTGGCCTTGGACACCACCCAGCACGCTGTCAAATCATGTGCTCGTGCTTAGGACTGATTTCTGACATACTATTAAGGAAAGTTTAGTGAAGAATAAGGTCAAAATATGTCCGTATTCTAAACTTCTTGACTGCCATAAGAAACTGCCTATATTTCCAGGACATTTTTAAAAGAAGCCTTTAAGCGTTACAGTGAGAAACATTCTTTGCTTGGCCAAACTTTAACCAGGCTTCTGAATGATATTCTGTTTCCCCCTTTTTTGGGGGGAATCCAGTTTTAACAAAGATCTCTGCAGAAGTCCCACACTCTTGATATCTGATCAGGCCCCTTCATGCCCCATGTGGTTACTCTGGCCTCTCCGCAGTAGGAATTCTGTCAGGCTGATTTTGCTAATAATTCCCCAACCCCACCCCACTTTGCCCATTCTGCTCCTTGCTACAAACTCTCATTTGCTCGTTTTATGTTTGGGGTTGAGCCCAATTTTCCCCCACTGCAAGACTCTCTGCAGTGGTCCTTGGAACTATCTGGATGGTCTTGAACAGGCTTTTTTAACCATGCTGTAACAATATCACTGAATCATCTTTTTCTTTAGTCAAAATCTTACAAGTTGCCATGCATTCTGGAATCCTGATTTATCTGGATTTCAGAATACAGTTATTATGGAAAATAATGTAACAGGAAAAAAAGCCTTTTGAATAGACAATTTCATAAGGAAAAATGAAATCCTCATTCTGATGTTCAAGTCACATTTATTACTAATACGATTTTGATTTTCAGTACAATCTTTCAAATACAGTCTTTGGGGATAAAAAGAGGTGCAAAACCATCTGATTAGCATGAGAACACAGTCTTTTTAAAATAGAAAAGTGTGAACAGTGTAGTCAGTTCTGGTTTGAATAGAATCAAGTGTGGAAATCTACTTTTTGTTTAAAACAAACGTCTCCGTAATTCCTGTTTATTAAGACTATTTGATGCCATATTTATCCAAAGTTTTAAATCATTACGTATATTTATATTGTTAAAACTTTTTCAATGTATGTGATGGTGCCACAATGTTAGATGTAAGAAATACATTCAAAGATGGACTAGAAATTGTGCACTTATAAAACTCAAAATACAAGACAAATTTTAATTCACCAGAAAAAGACACTTTACATACATGTAGTGATATGCTATTTAAACTCAAGATGGAGGAAAAATGCCAAATTAGTGTCTCTGCAACTGACATATCCTAGTTTTAGAGCTTTAAAAACATAGTAAAAGACAAACTCTTGTCACCTATGTGACTGCTACTCTTGAAAGATGTTTTACCAAAAAACGTGGTTTGTATTTACAAAATATCAACTCCTCTCTGCAAGCACTATCATTTGTAAAAAGGGACAGGTCATTTTATTTTTCTGGGAACAACAGTTACTTAAATCTTCTTACCCTTAAGAACTGAATCTCAGTGTGGAAGGGATCCTATGTCAAGTATTAGGTTAAATGAAAGCATTGTAACTATCATTTCCAAGTAGATTGGAGAAAAGTATACACTGTACTTTGTGATGATTTGAGAATGAAACATTTACTTTCAGAACTGTTATATATCTGTAAAGTAGAGGGGGTTTTTTGTGTGTGGTGGTAGTAGAGATTGAAGCTAGGGGCTCTCTATGCTAAGCTATAACCCCAGCCCTTTAAATTTTCATTCTCTTTTAAATTCGGAGACAGGGTCTTACTAAGCAGCGCAGGTTGGGGTCCAATTTACAATCTTCCTGCCTCAGCCTCCTGAATAGCTGGAATTACAGGTGTGTGCCACCACGTCCTGCTAAAGTGGGACCTCTTGGAGCACTGATTTTTAATAAAAAGATGAGATGTTCATATCCTTGTAAGTGAAACATGTACAACTTTCCTGTGATCTCTTGTGTTTTTCTCAATATTTTAGGATAAATTTAGATAGCTCAGTACAAATGCTAATTATGGCATAGTGCAGGTGAGGAGGAAGAACACTATAATATCTAAGTGTTTTTCAAAAAATCTGCTTCTATTTTGAGTGTAGTGAATTTCAGTAAATAAGATAATATATATGTCAATTGATGTAAATAAAACCTAGCGCTTAGAAAACAACACAGTAGAATATGGCCACGCAAGTAAAGTTTTTTCTGCTAAACTCCTCTTAAAATATTCAAATCCAGAATGATTCAGCCACTATAATAATTTTAACTTAAGTAGGGATTTTATGGGAGGCTGTCTTGAAAATTTGCTGACACTAATATATATATCTACATCAGACATTATTTTTTAATTCCACAAAAATTTTTGGGTGCCAATAATTATATTTGGAGAGAATTAACACTATGTCAATTTAAGATAGTTTAACAATAAAACTTTAGAAAGTATTCATCTTTTATTTTCTGTATAAATGAACAAATTAGTTTCTGGTCAGTTTTACCATTGATACAACTTACTGTGTGTGATTTCTTCAATTTATTTTTTTACTTGCAATGTAAGGGATCATTTTTATACTGACTTTTTGGTAAATTTAATTCATAAAAGTGACCATCATCATATGAGACCACGATGGTAAGTTCAAGAATTAACACACAAAAGAAGACAAAGCAAAGTTATCACATATAAAAAGCTAAGGAAGTTTTGAATACTCAAGATATTTAAAATTTTAAAATATTCTAGATACTTGCTTAAGATGTACACTATGTCGGGTTTCCTTGTATGTAACACTTTGTGGGTGTGACGGTAAGGAGCAGGTGTTTGAGGTGCCGGTTCCTGGTCATGCTACCAAGACCTGGGTCATGGGATGGGTGAAGCAGCTGTCTAACTTCCTTTGAACATTCTAATGGCAAGTTCCTAAAGAAGCACCACTTGTTACATAGGCTTCTGTGGCATGCTTTTTGGAACCAAAGAAATGGTCATGACTTCTAGCTGCATAATAGGCATATTCATTTACCACTTCCTTAAATCCATCAATAGCTTTTTTTCCTTCACATCAACTCTCACTCCACAAACACGTAACCCAAATCCTGTCACCCAGAAATTCCTCTTGAGACCTTTAATGATGTGTGTATTAACATTAATTATCTAATCCACCCCTAAACTTAATCTGGTATTTATATGATGAGCAATCAAAATGAGTAACATATCAAAGCTCATTCTCTTAATGACAGAATCTCATAATATCAGCGTTGTTAAAGGTCTAAGAGATTAGATAATCCAATCTTCTCATCTGACAAATGAGAACAACTGAACCCAGAGTCTGTTCCTGTCTGCTGGCTTTAAATAGGTTAGAAATAAACCCGATATCTAAATCTTTCTGTTTCCCACACTTTACACCATTTACTGCAAAGTCCATCTGAAATGTGTCATAATTTTTCTCTTCTACATTTCTTTCTAAGAATTTTTATATTTCAGCTATTTTTTTAAAAAATCTGAATTTTGTTAACTTTAAAATTGTTTCAGAGAAATATTAAAACACCAATGCAGTACTTTTCAATATAACCATTACTTATTGATAGTCTCATTAAAAATGTCCCTAATGTTTAAATCCTTGCTATTACAGCTAATGTTAATTAACATACATATTTTAATTAATTTATTCCTGGGATAAGGCAGAGTTTCACTTTAATTGAGCAGAGACTGGTTGCATAAGCTTTCCCTTATAAATAGAAGTAAAATTTTGAATTGCATTTTTCACATTATCAATGCAGAAAATGAATTTTTTCTTTCAAGAAATACTCTGTTCATCTGCAGACAAGGAACTTGTTCACACTTGTGTGTGCATATACATAAATACACACACAGGCCCAGATAAATGACCATGAGAACCAGCCAAGACCAAAAGTGAATCTAGATCTATTAGAAAAGAAGAAATGTCTACACAACAGCTTTTTTTAAAAAATCACAATTGTCACGCAATTAGTTCTAGCTTTCATGTTTGGCGTCTCCAGCCCCTGGGGTGTGGATTATAGTTGCAATCTGTTACCGGAAGGCAATAATCAGACCTAGTCTCCAGGGACATTATTTCAGAATCATTTCTAGAAGCCTGCCTATGATATGTGTATGGCAACTGCACACCATATTGAGAGTTGGTGGGCATGTTATTACTGGCTACAGAGGTAACATGATACTCTTGCCTTTCAAATGAGTCCATATTGGCCCTCTGCGTTTGAGGAACATAAGACAGTTTCTCATTCCAAACCTCTGGGGACCCCCGAAGCACCTTCCTCCGAGCTGCTGAGACCACATTGGCCACAATGGACTCTTGGATGCTCCTGGGTCTGAAGGCATCATCCACTAGACCAAGGGGAGACCTTGCCGCTGCTTCCCAAGGTGTTGGTCTTCTGTTGGCTTGCTCCAGCCCATCTGCTGGTTTTCTGGAGTAATTATAAGCCGGCTGGAACATCCAAGGAGATGCCGTAGACATGATGGGTGGGACAGGTCTTCCCGGAAGAGACAAGGAGCGCCCAGTCTCCTAAAAACAGTGAAAATGTTCATGCAGCTCATTAATTTCAGTTTATACTGATTACTAGTCCAAAGTACTCACGGCACCATTAGCCAGCACTACAAAATCTCACCCTTATGATGCTTAGTCCTAAAACCAAACAGGATGTCTCAGCTTCGTGCATTCTTAGCTTGGCCTCCTGCTCGGCCCTTACATCCCTCTCTTGGCTTTCTTTACTGCTCTCCTGCTCTAATCCTGTGGTTTCGGTTGCTGGCATCTTTCCCACGCATAGCCCCCAAGGTAGGACCCCATCATTACTTCCGTCCGCCTTCCACACATTCATATCTACATGGGCAGCCCACTCTCATTCTGGGTCTGTTTTCCTGATACAAAGTAAATGGAACACTGATCATCCCAGAAACAGGGTAAACTACTAGGCTTTTTACTTTTTCCAAGACATCTTTCATCTATTAACTCATTTCGGTCCACATAGCAAAACCAAGCAAGAGCTCCTCAGAAGTGATTAATGTTACTGAACCGGTGGAATGAATGACTGGCCATTATCCTTTCAAAATTTGTTTATGTGAGGAGGACCACGTGGGTGTAGTCCCCTTGTTTTTGAAGAGGAGTCACTCTGCTATTTTATTTGCTTTTTGCTTCCTTTTATGTGTATTGTCCTCTTATGTCTTTGAGCTCTCAGTGTCTGCAACATGCCTTTTTGTGGACGAAGTGTTCTTCGGCTAATCCACAGCAGCACAGTCTACTGAAAGCTCCCATGTTCTCTCCTTGTATCTCTCTGGCCTTCCCAGCAAACCCTCATGACTGTCTATCTGCACTGTTTTCTCATACATTCCTGTTTGTAGGACAAACTCCTTAGACAAATTCCTGGCAAAAAGTCTCAAGGAGACACCTGGGGAAATGAGTCTACATTGAACGTATCAAAACATTGTGTTTCTCAAACAAAAGATTGTGTCTAAAAATGTGTGTTCAGATTTCAAAAACAGTTGCAACAGCTTTTCTTTATCAAGTTCTTAAATATAAACTGAATAGCAACACTTTGATTTGGGCAAAAGAGCTCAGATTTAATTTTCATTTTTTTCCATTAATTTTCACTTTTTTCCACAAAGATAAAAGGTTAATTTTTGGTTTGAGTATGAAGAAGTAAGGGTCAATATAATGGATCATAGTTCTTTCTTTTTAATTATTAGAACTTTCCTATAATGGTAGAATCCTAGTAAAAATTTGTTTTCATTCAAGTCTCTATTTTTTTTTTTTTGTCTTTTTCCTTTTTATCAGTACCAGGGATCAAACCCACAACTGCCTGCTTGCAAGGCAGGTGCTTATGCGGCTGAGCTAAATCCCCAGCCCCTAAAGTTTCTATTTTAATGCAGAAGTAGTCGTAAATTCTCTTTCCTATATAGTTAAAGAGGAAGGTGTGTTGGCAGGTGACTTTTACTCACTTTTAAGGCCTTGGTTTATAGTTCACATTATTGAGGTATCAGCTTCTTAAACTTATAAATAAAAGTTTCAATGAGCCCCTCATACTCCCAGGCACCCTCCTATGAACTAAAGCTACAAAGTACAAAAGCCCCCAGCTCTCAAGAAACACACAATCCACTGTTATTTTTAGTTCTCCAGTAGCAAGTTAGAGAATCACAGAAGGCCAGCTTAGAGAAAAGACTTTTTACCTAACTTGCCATGAAAAAAAAATAGGGAATTTTCTAAACTGTAAGAACTATTAAGTTTGGGTGTAATAAAGAGAAATGTCTCTTGTAATATATGTGTGCGTCTCTCCTTTGTCCTTGCCTGTGGACGAGATAAACAAATGAAAATTGTTTGTTGTAAACTAAATAACTTGCTCTTCTACATTCTCCTGAGCCAGCTAAGGTGCCTTGTGTTCCTTCAGGTGCTAACAATAGAGTATGAAACTATAAATTATCTTAAGTTGGAGATTCAACTGTGAAATAAATAAATCATTCCTGAGTACACAGTTGTTTCTGTGTGTGCCAAAAATATTGCAGGCATCTAGTCTGTGCTTGCATCCAAACCCCTAATTTTAACATATTTCCCCAAAAGCAACTGTTGCGTCTTATTCTTTGGGGCTATGTTCTCTGTCCATCTCAATCTTCAAAGTACTTGGCTTGCATTATTATCAAAGGAATTATAATTATTAATATGAGAGCGCTGAGCAGTATTTGAGATGCTAAATTGGCTATACCTAAGACCTGCCATCAAACTGTTTCTTTCTGTCTCTTACCACACCTTAAATTTTATGTATTGAAAGAAATTTTTCTACTGTCACTGGAGGAAAACTTTGCAAGTCCTGTGACACTCTATTTAACTTTAGGAATAGTTCTATAGTTACCTTAAGTTACCCATACTAGTGCCTATTTTGACATAGAAGTTTCCGTGTCCTGTACTGACAAGCTCCAATTTTAACTTAAAATGAAAGTTCCTGTCCTCCCTCCTGGTTGTGCCTCTTTAGAAGAGTCACATGATTTCTGGGAGGAGAGGAGTTTGGCTCTTTGGCTCTCCCTCCCCCTTTCTCATCCAGCTAGCTAAGTCTGCCCTCCCAGGGCCACAGAGCAAGGATGATGAAGAATTAAAGTGAGGGGGTTCCCTTGATTTGGTAACCCCGACTTCTGGCTTCTCAGTCTCAGCAATCTCAAAGAGGAAAGTTTTCTCGGGCTGTTAGAAGATTCCATCACTGCTGAGCCTTTGATTTACATTCATTCATCCCTGTTTTCAAGGGGCACTCATGACTACGAACCATGCTCCAAGCTGCCCACTGCAGGTGTTGCCAGGATCCCCTCCCTCACTCCCCCCCAGAGGCTCCAACATGACCTCACTCAACACCCCCTTACTGCTGGCCTAGCCCAGTCCGTGGGGAGACACTCACACCACCACCACGTGCCATGGGCCCAGGGCAGCACAATTCCTGGACTTTCGCCAAAGCAGTTTGTCAGCCAGTTTCTGTCCTTCCGGACCTCCTGAGAGGGTGTCAGATCCCAGGGCACTCTGACCCCACCGGGTCCTCAGGCAGGCATCTCCTATCAAGTTTTCTAAGAAGCCACTTTGAAATTCTTCTTCTGCATAGCTCCACATGAAGGGACAGAGCCCTCACTCCACCTCCTCCAAACAGGGATCTGGGACACAGCAGGGTCCCTCCATGCAAGGGCTTTTCTCTCTTCCATACTCTGAGACATTTTAGTTACCTGGACCTGGCTGAGAGCTCGAACTGTGGGAGTCACTTGTTGCTATTCTCTTCGTGAACCCTTGTTTCAATCTGGAATCTCATTTCAGTGGGAAATAGTGGCTGTCCGGGATTTCTTTTTGCTTTACGAGCTCACTAAGTCACTAAATTCCTGAGGCTGGGCTGGGACTTGTGATCCTCCTGCGTCAGTCTCCCAGAGTGCTGGGATTTCAAGCATGTACCACCACGCCCAGTCTGAAAACTTCAAATTTAATGTCTTGTTATGTTAACATATTGTCAGTAGGGCACAAAGGTTTCTCTTATTTTTCTTTTTAAAATGAAACATTGGCTAAAAATGAAATGGGTTCCCCCCTCCCCACTCCTATGGATTAATTCCAAAGAATGACTCTAAAGCTTCCTGAGGTCTTAAAGAGTGGAAATCTGATACCTCACTCAGGACCTGTGCTCTAGATGAGGACTCACGGGTTTCCAGGACTTGCTTGGAATCCTTAGGCTTTGATCTGGGGAACTTCTCTCTGAGAAAATTAAAACTTGCCTCCCATAGCTTTGTCCCAGTGCCCCTGATAACAGAATTCATCCCGAGAAAGTCATTCTTTTATAGATTTCCAGTTTCATCCACCCTCACTCTCTGGTTGCTATCTTTCATTTTTCAAACTAAGAAGAAATATTAGCTAAGGTGCCCACCCCCTGAAGTTTCATCCCTCTTTCTCCAGTTTGTTAAGAAAGGCTAATACAGGAATAATGCCTTGATCTTCTTAAGTGGATGAAGGTGCGTAAGCAAAGGCATCAAAACTACCCCACATGCTGAGCGAACACATCATTTAAACTGATTGAGGGACTGCGTCATCTGGCAGATGACAGAATTAATATCACTCATGGAACATTTAGCCTGGTGAACTTATGAGAATACACGCCACTCTGTAGCTCACCCAGTGTAACTCACACAGTAAAGAATACAAGATTCCCACCAAACTCATGAGTCACCTGCCATTGTAATGCCCACAAAAGGGCTAAATACCAAGGAGTCACTCTCTTACCTTAGCTTTTAATTACTGTATTGCTTGTTGTGTACCAGGCAGTGGGTGCTAACTGCTTTATGAGGAATGTTTCATATAATCCTTACAACTCTGCATACAGACACTTATTATTATCCTTATTTTTCAGAAGACCATGAGACCTGGAGAAGACCAGTGACTTCCCCAAGGGTAGAAATCTAATAAATGATGGAGCAGCATGTTGAACCCAGTCTCATACCACATTTCTTTGTCTAACCTCAGACTGTACTTGAAATTGAATATGAAATAGTTTGGAGAGAATATCTTAAAAAAAACAAGATTTGTATCTGTGCAAACTAAATGGGGTAGAAATTTTGAAAGAAAATGTAAATTTTGATGAAATTTGGTTTACACACCATGCTACACATGTGATGGGAGAGACATGAAGCCCTGAATTCAAGAGCAAAGCTCAAAGAGGCTGAGTTCTTTTTTCTGCTTAATATAAACATCTTTCATATCAGTTAACTGTTGATTTACCCACATAGCTTGTTAAAGAAGAAGTTTAGTTAGCTTCCTTGTTAAACTGTCAGGGGAACCAATTTAATTATCAGGGAACCCTTGACATTTAAAAAGGAAATGCCATCCAGAGTTCACTTAGGACAATGAAGTGAATTTTAAAGCAATGCAAATAAATATAGTCTTAGCAGCTAAAGAAGTTTAATGTGATATATGTGCTGAAGCTCAAAATCTTTTATATCATAAACTTTGGAAGTTAACAAGTGCCCTTGGCTGAAATCCTGCTTACATGTGCATTGTGTCCA